GGGGGGGGGGGCAAGGCTGGCAGTGGGCGGTGACCAGCATGTCCCAGGCTGGGTCACCCAGCCTTGGCCGTCACCTGTCTGCATCAAACTAAGGGGGCTGGGTTACCACGGGCTGATGGATGTCTTGGGCTAGAAGAAGCTCGCACAAGGCAGAGTAGAATGATGTTCTCATCAACAGCCTCGTTCAGGCTACCCGAGGCTGCAATCAGAAGCAGGAGTGGCACAGAGGGACACATTGCTGGGCTCTGTCTCCCACGGCCTGCGGCTTGGAGCAGCGCTGGCTGCCCCGTTCTGCGGGCGCCGTGAGGGGTGAGATCCCCCAGCGATCAAATCTGGAGTAAGCCATAGTTCTCAGAGCTTTCCAGTGACCCTCCTTGAGCCTATCTGTGGAAAAAATGGATTCCAGGGAACCGAAGAGGATGCGGAGGGGTACAAGACTTCTCTGAAATGATTGCCAACTAGGCTCCAAATGTGCTTTTCAGAGCCCATCACAGCCCCTCCAAGACCCTCTGCTCCTTTTCTTCCTCATGCTTCCACCTCTCTCTCTCTCTCAACACCTTGCCTGTTCTCTTCTATTCCATATCCACCGGCCTGAGCTGACTCTCAGATCCAACCCTCTAACCCAGGCACCTGGAGCCCTCCCTCTTTACTGTCCCTCTGGTCCTATGTTCTGACCCAAGAACAGGTGTCCTGCCATACCCCAAACACGTGTCCAAAAGCAAATTCCTCATCTCCTGCCAGAAGCCTGCTCCCTCCCCAGAGTCTCCATTCTTCTGGGGTTGTGGGGGGAGGGGGGAGACCTAAGAGAACCCCGTATTTCCCCAGCAAGGTGTCCTTGACCCTTCCCTTTCCTTCATCCCCTCTGGCATTGGATTCTTTCATTTCTCAGGAAGTTGCCTCTTCTGTCCATTCCTGCTGCATGGCCACCAGTCCCCTTTGACTGTAAAAACAGGACCTTGGCCCATCATTGCTATTTGTGCACATAAACAGAGATAAGCAGAGATAACAAGAAGCCCTAGCCTGTGGCAGGATCTCTGGCCCCTCCTTCCCCACCATGGGCCCCTCCTCCTCTCTGTGGGCACCTGGATTTCCTACTCTCTCACCCAATTGCCCACACTTGCACCACCACCCACAAACACACATTAAGACTCATTGACACCAATATGCTAACCTCCTCCTGTTTGCATTTAAATATATTTAACTCTAACTGTGCTGTGGAAAGCATTTTATAATAACTAGCAAGCAGGGGGCAATATTTGGCAAGGTGGAAGAACCTCTTCGTTTTCCTCACAGTGACACTGTTCCTAAAGCTGCCCTTCAAAGAAAGCCAGGTTGAGTATTTGCTGTGGACTGAATTGTTTCACCTGAAATTCATGCACTGAAGCCCTAACACCCTAATGTTCTAGTATTTGGAGATGGGGCCTTTGGGAGGTAATTAGTTCATGAGGATGGAGCTCTGGTGATGGGATTGGTGCCCCTATAAGAAGAGATAGGAGAAGGACCTCTCTCTCTCTCTCTCTCTCTCTCTCTCTCTCCCTCTCTCCCTCTCTCCCTCTCTCCCTCCCTCTGCCATGTGAGCACACAGCAAGAAGGCAGCCATCTACACCCAAGAAGTTTCTCACCAGAACAAGACCATGCTGACTCCCTAATCTTGGACTTCACAGCCTCCAGACATAAATATCTGGGGAAGTAAATAAATCTCTCTTGTTTAAGCCACTCAATCTCTGTTGTCTGTCACAGCAGCCCAAGCTAAGGCAGTGTTTCTGATATTTAAAAGAAGAAAGGCCTGTAGAGGATGGTGGAGCAAGATTCCAGTCCCCTTCTTCCCTCATTCTGTCCTCTTCCAACAAAGATGGCAACAGTAATACTATTCATAAGGTCAATTTCAATTCCATGCCATGCTTACTGTTTATCTTCTTTACAAGACTATAAACTCTATGAGGGCAGAGACCACATCTGCAGGGCCACTGCACACAGCCACCAGGCTTTGCACTAAACTGCCCGGGGGCACCAGTAACCCTGTAAGCCTGGCCTTTTTCCTGACTTATCCCCAGCCTCCAGTACAGAGCCCAGCACACAGATGAATTGCGTTCAACAACA